GCCCTTTGTAATTCCTTTCTGACTTGTGAGAGTCCTCTTCACTTCCTTGTTATTTGTACTGAGTCACACATGCACACATGTGTACACACACACACACACACACACACACACACACACACACACAACCTTCTCCTTTACCCAGGTGGATCAGTTAGTGCCCTGCAGAATGTCCCAGCTGCTGCTTTACTTAAATCCCATGGCTTGTCTGAACAAGCCCGGGAGTCACTACTGGCCCTTGAAGTCAGGCTGGAGAGTGGCCACCAAGTCTGCCTTGGCCTTTGCCGGAGATGCTAAGCCCGTCAGATTCAGAGGACACAAGAAGTGGATGCACTTAGCACATCAAAGAGAAGCTCAGAAAAAGACCAGGAACAAACCACCAGGTCTGCCCCACCCTGGAGGAAACCCCACTTCTAATCAGTGATGAGTTTAGTCACGAATTGGGGGCTAGTCAGTACTCACACTTGTATTGTGCCTGTGTGTGTGGTGGGGGAGAGCTCCCAGAATGGGGAAGGCTTTGAAACCTAGAGGGGAACGGCCTTATGAGTAGAAAGCCTTGTGGAAGAGGGGATACAAGTTCAACCTCCGCTGAAGTAGCTCAGGAAAGTCATCTTCCTTCCCAGGTCCCAGGCTGGACTGAGTAAGTGAGGAGAGGAGTAGATGAGTGTTCGCTGTTGAGCCAACATGCATACAGCAGGTGCTCAATAAATGCTTACTACGTGAATGCTGGACAAGTGAGCGAATGTACTGCATGGAGAATTTGAGACCTAGAGAGCTGTGCCTGCCTCCTAGGGACATAGTGCACCCAGCATGTGGCAAGCCTGTGAGGGTGTCAGTGATGGGAACCAGGACTGCATTGCGGCCGAGTGATGGGAGTGGCTCTGTCAACTGAGAACCCCCAGCTCAGCACCCTGTCCTCCACTGTCCCTGCAGCTAGCTGTACTTCTCTGTGTCACCACAAACAGTTTTGGGCCACCCCTGTAAGAGAGAGCCTATTGGCTCATGGTAAAGGTGGGTGGCTTTGCATGTGTGAGGTCTTGGTTTCCATCCTTCTTTTTTTTGTTTTTGTTTACTTATTTATTTATTTATTGAATCACTGTGGGAAAGGTTACAAAGCTTTCAGGTTTAGGCCTCAGTCATGCAAATATCAAACACATTTCCCTTTACCAATACTTATTTTTTACCATGAAGAACCCCAATAAAACCCCACCCCCCACCCCTCCCAGTCCCTGTGAGGCAGATGAATTCTAGTTAACACTCTACCTGCTTTGACTAGATTCATTGTTTCAATAAAAGATTCACCACTATTATTTAGAGTTTACCCCCCCCCCCCCAATCAGACATGCTGACAAAGCATTGTGAAGTGATTTGCTTTCTACAGCTGGGTTCAAGAATTAAATGTTGGTTTTGGATTTCTGCTATTTTACTTATTGACCCTGAAAGTATTTCTACTGAAAGTCAGATAGTTAAGAAATTGGTTTCTGTGCTCTGGAGTTGTGGCCGTGCTGGAGAGCCGCTAGTGGGGGGCAACTGGTGGCCTCGGTAGGGCGTGAAGGGCGGACCGAAACGCCCCCCTTCCCATGAGGTTTTAGTCGCCCCCAGTCCCCCGGCTCATACCTGCTGTCCACAAGGCTCCCATGTGGCCGCCATCTTTCTTTCCAGAGAGGAGAGGGCGAAGGGGGCAACACCCTTTCCCCTCCGGACATGATGGCCTGGATTAACGCATAGTCCGTTCACTTTTCTGCTCCAAGCTGCCGGGTTCTGCATTAAGTCCTTGTGCTTCTGGGGCCGTGGCTGTGCTGGAGAGCCGCTCGCGGGGGGCAACTGGTGACCTCGGTAGGGCATGAAGGATGGACCGGAACGCCCCCCTTCCCATGAGGTTTTAGTCGCCCCCACACCCCAGGCTCATACCTGCTGTCCACAAGGCTCCCATGTGGCCGCCATCTTTCTTTCCAGAGGGAGGGGGGCGGAAGGGAGCAACACCCTTTCCCCTCTGGGCAGACATGATGGCCTGGATTAACGCATAGTCCTTTCACTTTTCTGCTCCAAGCTGCCGGGTTCTGCATTAAGTCCTTGTGCTTCTGGGGCTGTGGCCGTGCTGGAGAGCCGCTCGTGGGGGGCAACTGGTGACCTCGGTAGGGCGTGAAGGACGGACCGGAACGCCCCCTTCCCATGAGGTTTTAGTCGCCCCCACACCCCCGGCTCATACCTGCTGTCCACAAGGCTCCCATGCGGCCGCCATCCTTCTTTCCAGAGAAGAGAGGGCGTCCATCCTCTTTATACACACGTGCGCACACACACATACACACACACACATGCACACACACACAAATCAATGCCAACCCCTCAACTAAAAACATCTTGGGGCTAGTGATGATAAAAATAGCTCCTCTAGAGAGTGCTCGCTCTGTTCCTGGAGCTGAACTGGGACTCCATGCATAGCTGTTCTTTGTCATCCTAAGCACCAGATGGGCACTCTCCACTCCTACGGTCCCTTTCTTGTCTTCTTGGAGCCTGGCAGGCAGATTAGGCTACAAGTTAGGAGCTGGGATTTTGGTTCAAGGTGGCAGGTTGAAACTCCCAAGCCTCTCTTGGCAGCTGCAAGACTGTAGGAAGCATCTGGAACCTCTTTGAGCTTCCCTTTATCATAGAATAGAAACCTACTTGCCAGGCGCTGGTGAGCTTCAAAGGAGGACTTGGCTAAAGCCCTTTGTGCCTGGTGCCCCTGGTCCCGGGTATCTGTGCCCTGTACAGGAACAAAGTCTTCACTACGCCTGCAGGTGAACCCAGGCCCTCAGCTCCCCCGGGTGCATTCCTGTTGCTCATGCCTGGTCGACCATGAGCTGGTCTCTTGGACAGTGCTGATGGCCAACAGGGACGGTCAGGCCAGGGGGATCATGGAGTCCGCTCAGTCCATTCACTGGGATATGCCCCCCGGCTCTGAGAAGGGCATGCAAAAGGGGTACAAGGCAGGCTGGTGTTACCTATTGCCCTGGTGGAGTCCCCAGACACACATTCCAAAGTACACACAGGCGACGCCAGGGCCCCGATGTCCTTCCGTTCCCCTCGGAGTAAGATGTGCCGGGTGTCCCGGGTCCCTTTGTTTCCTGGGGAGTAGTGTTCACACACACACTGACCAGCGTGAATGCCCAATTATGGGGTTTCCTTTGGCGGAAAGATGGGGTTCTCTGAGCAAACAAGTCCTCGAGCTACACCTGACATTGGCAACTCCAGTGGAAGGGGAGAGCTGGTGCCCCCCCTGGCACCAGGAGCAGCCTTCAGGCTTCCTATCCCTACAGCTGCCTCAGAATCACCACCTGGGTCTCTCTCTCTGAGCACTGCTCAGCCTCTCAGCTGGTTCCTGCTCATTTCTCTGGGCAAAGGAGCATCCTGAGTGTGACACTGGGCTGAGCGCAAAGCGTTTCCTCCAGAAAAGAGTCACTTCTAGAGACTTCTCTTTCATTTTTCCTCTCCCATCGGGTGCTCCCAGCAGAGCTTGGCCCAGTCGGCCCAGGGATTGCGGGGGCCAGTGGGGTCACACCCAGCAGTGCATTTCCCCAACACCACTGGGTCCCCACCGGTTGATGCTTGGCCACACCAGATGGCGCTGGGGAGGAGCTGGAGCTGGAGGTGTCAGGATGGATCCAGGGCTGGACAGGTGAGCCATGACCTTGCCCCTGACGTGTTCCACACAGGTTTCTGTTTGCATCCTTTTATGCGGGACCTTTCAACAGTAGTGATGGCATCTCAAAAACACTCCCACCAACACGGATTATTCTGCTAACATGATTGCTATTATTGATTTGTTCTCATTAAAGCAATCGTCCCGTGGCCCAATACTTCCCAAAGCTCTCTTAAGACCCAGCAGTCTAGGCCGTCCTTGGTGTGGGACACCACCATCCTCTTCCTTCTCGTGGGCATCTGTCTCACAACTGCATCCTTGGCAAGGCAGGGCCACAAAGGGGGTGGGCTTGGTCCTGTGCGGGAGGAACAGAGGGCAAAACGGTGGTCTGGAGAGGACCAGTATGTGATATCAGGGGAAGGTGGAAGGTGGGGTGTGGGGACTTAGGGACCAGATGCTTGAGCTCAGGCCCCTGCTGGCCTGGACTTGGGCAAGATCCCCGCATGCCTAAATGCACCATTCCCTGGGCCAAGAGCTGCCATTCTCACACTTGCCTCCTGGGCCAGGGTCTGGGGTGAATCTGATGAGATGCAGGCAGGCTGGGTTGATCCCCACCCCACCCCATTTGGCAATGATGCTCACCTTCAGGGAATGTGAGGTGCTGGCACTTAACCAGGTATTTGGGGGTGGGGGACACACAGACCACCAAGCCAACAATTGCAACGTTCTACATACGGCAGGCGATTGGGGGCACTGAGACTTGGACTTCCGAAGAGCATCGTGCCTTTGGCTGGGTGTAGCATCTGGAGAGGGGGTGGGGCTGGTAGGTAACTGGAGATGGGGGTGGAATGGGGTGCGGGCCCCAGGGTGGGGGAGGGGCTCTGGGATCGTGCAGAGCGGCTCCCGGCTCCGCCCTTTTCGGGAACGCGGGAGGAGGTGGCGAGCTGGCGGCCCAGCCCGAGACCTGGGTGCTGGTGACAGTGACAGAGACCGCGCAGGAGCAAATGCCCAGCCAGGAGGGAGGGAAGCAGGAGCAGGCGCCAACCTCCTCCCCCCTCCCCACGCCGCCGCCGCCACCCGCGTCCTCCCTCCTCCGGTCCCCAAGTACGCCACGTGGGTGGGGAGCGTGTTACACACGCCCACGCGCCCACCGCCTCCTCCCCGCGCGCCGGTGGGCACGGGGCCTCCACGGATCACACCGCCGCCACCTGCTGCTGCCGCCGCCTCCCCGGTGTGTGTTCGTAGGTGGGGGGGGGGGGCAGGTGTGCACCCCGTCCCAGGCACCAGCCACCGGGGCCAGGTGTGGGGGGGTTACGTCTTCCACGGACCCCTCCCCAGCGCAGGAGGGGGGGGCGGAGGGAGGAGCTGGGGACGCAGCCTGCGCCGTACCCCGCCACTCCTCTCCCTCCCCTCCCCTCCCCTCCCCTCGGCTGCCGCAGCCCCGCGCGCGCGTCAGCGTGGGTTCCCCGGAGCGAGTCGCTAGGTAACCGGGCCGGCCGCGCAGCCCCGCAGCTGGGGAACCCCGCGCGCGCGGCGGCGTCAGCGGCCGGGGGGCGCACGACCCACCCGCATCGGGGCCTGCGGAGCCCGGCTGGCCGGCAGCTCCCGCCCGCTGGCTCGGTTTTGGAGCTGGCCGCCTCCCCGGAGGGGACCCCGACGCCTCCCGCTCCGTCCCCCACTCACCCCTGCGCAGCCCGTGCGCCCCCGGTAAGCTGCGCTCGGGCGCCGCCGTGGCGGGGCGCGTGGGGAACGGGGAGCGCGCGGCGAGCGGGCAGCTCCCGCCGCCGCGGCCACCGGCCGGGCCATGTGCTAAAGTTTCTGGGGCTCGTCTCCCCGCTGGGCGCGTAGCGCGGGGCGCAGCGGCTAGGTGGGTGGGTGGGGCGGCGCGGTCCTGCGGGGCGCCCCCTTCGCCCCCGGCCCCGCGGGTGCAGCCCTGTGCGCGCTCTCACGCTCTCACGCTCTGTCTTTCTCTCTTTCCCCTCGCGCTGCCTCCCCGAGGTCCTCCCGCCGAGCCCCGGGGCGCCGCCCGCCCGCCCAGCACCCGGCTGCGCCCACACCTCGCCAGCGGCCGACCGGGACATGAACATCGCGCACAGGGGCCAGCGCCCGGAGGCCAGCCCCAGCCGGCGGCGACCAGCGGGTCGGCGCTGCCCAGGAGAATGAGGCAGGAGCCGGCCGTGGGCTCTTCCTCCTCCCCCTCCTCCTCTTCCTCCTCTTCCTCCTCCTCCTTCTCCTCCTCCTCCTCCTCTCCGCCTTCCTCCTGCTCCGGCGCCCCGGGCCCAGGCCCGGCTCGGCTCTGTGCCCCGCGCGCCCCCCGCCCGCCTCCGGATGCGCTGCTCGGTAAGCCAGGCCCAGCCTCGGAAACAAAGCCCCTTAGCTTGGCCCTGCAGACCGCCTCTGGAGACCCCCTGCCGGGCTCCCGCCAAGAGCTTGGGAGCCTGGGGGACTTCCCATGGCACCCCTTCACCCCCGCCCCGGCCCCAGATCCTGCCTGGAGGGCCAGCTGCCCCGCGTCCTGCATACCTGGGGCTTTGGACTTCGTTCTGGGAGGCGCAGATGCGGGCTTGGCACGCCGGAGGAAGACCTGTTTGGTCTATATAGTGAACGAGGAACCTGGGCTCAGCGTCCTCCATGGTGGGGTAGGGATGTCTCCTCCGCACAGGACCCCAGTGATAACTGATGCCCAGGCTGGCTCGGCTGGCTAGCTTTGAAGCGACCCGGGGAAATAGGTCCCTTTCCTTCCCCCCATAGCTCAGATTTGGAAACTGAGGTTCAGAGAGCTGACTTGACTTAATCAAGGTCACAAGGCCCAGGAAATGAGGGAGCAGGATCAGAACTCGGGGTGCTTTCTTGCCTTCCTGGGGCTTTGGAGCAAACACACCTTCCTGCTCCTTCTGCTGACTGCTTCTCCTGGGGTGGGGGGGAGGGGAGAGGGAGGGGAGAATGGGGGAGGCACAGACCAGCTGTGTTTATGGTAGCAGCATTTTATTTGTGTGCCCCTCCCCCACTGTTAACCCCTAGGGTGGATGAGGGGAGATTGGGGGGGGTCCTCTGACTGAAGGGTGGAAGATGAGCCTTGGGGTGTCTCCTTCCTGGAATCTGGGGCCTCCAGGAAGCCGAGTTTGGGACTGGGTTTCTCCTGCTGTGCTGTTCTGTGTTCAGGACCCAGTCCTGAACCTTTGGAGGGGGGCAGGAGGTTTCTCAGGGCTCTTGTTCCCTGGTTGTGTAAGTGTTGGAGATTGTCACTTAACACGCACAGGGGCTGCTTGCAGGGGTCCGCACGCCTGCCTGATTGAACTTGACCTGTCTTGGCTTCACTGTCCTGGGAGGGAGCTGGGATGCCCAGGAGACAGCTCCGGCCTGGCCCCAGGGCTCTCTCTGTCCTGCAGTTGCGTTTCCCTGCTTTATGGCCATCTCGGTGGATCCTGAGGGCTGGAGCCACCACAGGCTCATTTGACCTGTGTCTTGAGCGGCTTCTTTGATGGGCCCCCAAGCGTGGGACTGAGGTGCCTGTGTTAACAGGAAGAGTTGGTGGCAGCCCAGGGAAAAGCCCTCTGGGCAGGGCCTCGGTTTCCCAATTAGGAGCAGGAGGGGACTGGTGAGGGCCCTTCCATGGACAGGAGTGGTGGAGGCTGGTGCGGTGGGCCTGCTGCCTTTAGACAGAGCACTGTTCCGGTCTAAGATGAGCCCTTAGCGCTGAGGAACTGTACGAGTCAGTTCCACTCCAAGGGTGTGAAGCCGTGCAGTGCTTTTGTGAATTATTGATGGAACTAAAGCGTTCGTGGTTCTCAAGGGTCCCCAGGTGCCAGACTGGAGTGGAGGAACACGTATGGCATTTCAGTTGGAAAAATGGCTTTCGTCCCTAAGAATGAATGAAATTCCTGGACAGCCCGCAGTTAGCAAGTGGCCAAAGGCGACCCTTCCTGGCCCTTCCAGATAGAATCCATTCCAGTGGCCTGGGGAGGTCAAACTGGTGATTATTTTAGACTCTGCCTTTTCTGTTGTTTGCTGGTTTGACTTGATCGGTGTGGGGCTGACTCCTGGGTGTTTACATAGTGATCAGAGGCCAGTCAACTGGGAAGCTTTTTGGCCCCTTCTTGGTCTTTGCCATTTGAGGAAGGCTAAATGCATCAGCTTGACACCTTGGTCCTGAATGGAAGATGTGGATCAGGGAAGCTTTCAAAGTGTTACCGATTTTTAGGTGACGTGGACAGTGCCCGTGCGCTCTTGAGAAGCTCCTTTCCAGTGGGTTTTGTGGGTCTGAAATTCACAAAACCAGAGCCGAGCAGTTGATCGAGGGTGGAAATGCATAAAGGCAAAATCTTGGCTCTGGTGTGGGCATGTTAGGAGGGTGTGGAGGGATGACTTTCTGCGCCTCCTGACGAATCAGGAATGTCTGCCAATAAAAACGAACACAGAGAAACGGTCTCCACTCTGTGCCTCTTGAAAATGATCATCCAATTATTAACGAACTTCTCAGGCGGTTGTATATCCCACTCTGACTGTTTTGAAGCCAGATTCCACCGTCCAGCTCGTCTCCTGTGTCTGATCCTGAGCTTTGAGTTCTCAGCGTGCTCCAGGCCTTGACTGTCCCGTCCACGCCCCCAGTGGGAAAGTGGGCTCGCGGGAATCGATTCTTCTTTCCAGTGCATCTTTGTCTTATGCCCTTTTCTTTGAAGGCTTCTAAAATTGAGCTCAACACACCACGTGGATTGTATGATCCCGAGATAGAGTATTTCAGGTATCTTATATTTCCTGGGGGAGATCAAGAAGGGCGAATGTAATCGCACACTGAGTGATCTGGCTGGGGTCTCCTCTCTCACTGTGGAGTCACGCCATCAGAACATCTTTGATGTTCCCAGTCATGTGTCCTAAGAGCCAGTGTTAGAACAACTCCCTGGCCATTGAGTGCAGGAATCGTGCAGGTACTTTTGGGGCGAGGTGTGGAGGAGAGGAACAGCCTTCCGGAAACCTGGATATATCCTCTTGTTAATTGGCTCGGTGACCTTGGATAAATTCTTCCCCGTGTTAAGGTGTCCATTGGCACATACACCAGGAGTCTGTTCTGTCGGGATGCACATGTGTGTGCATGTGTGTGTGTGTGTGTGTGTGTGTGTGTGTGCGCGCGTGTGAGCATGCAAGCACGCACCAGGTGCTCTGCAAAACGCTAGGCGAGAGTCCTCAGAATTTGATGCGGCTGGTTATTAATAGCTCTAGAATGCTCAGGACGTCAAGGTTATATAACATTTTCAATTAGCCATACACACAGTATGGAACCGGTCATTATAAAAACACTCCCCCTTACTCTACGGGGGCCTTTGCCTGACTGCCAAGGTAGAACTTCCCGCTCAAAGCGATGATGCCAGCTCCCCATGTGGGTTTCTCACACGTTTCTTTCCCAGCACCCACTGAAGAGGGTTCACAAAGAGCTGTGATTCCCCGGGAGGGTCTGGATGGCGGGTGCGGCAGGAGCCCTTATGTAATTGGGTTTCATGGAGGGTAGGAAGACTGTGGTGTCTGAGTAGCTTCGTGCTGGGGGACTCGGGTGTCTGACCCGGGCTCTTCCTGGAAGGTAAGGAGAGGGAGAACAGAGTCACGGCTTAATGGTGTTTTGAAAAGGGAAAATACTTCCCTTGAACTCGGCAGAAGCTTGAGGATCTGAGACTCGCAGGGCGCGTTTGCCACCTTCTCTGTGCTGGTGCCCCCAGAATGCTGTGAGACACCTGGTGCCCGACACTAGGTTTGTCACCGTCAGCAAGGGAGGAGCAGACAAGAAACAAGGGAAGCGAGGCAGAACCTGCCCCTCCGCGCAGCCGCCTCCTCTCTGAGGAGTCCAAATGGAGCTGAAGTGGGTGTCTCAGGTGCACCCTGTTCATGCCTGGAAGATTCCTTCCTTGCTACGTGTGTGCCCCGTTGAGGTGGCAGCACTCCACCCTTATGCTTCCTTTCCTTGGTAGCTGCACTGGATCTGACAGTCCACATGTGATGTCCATCCTGGGTGTGTGGATACCACGTGGGCACCGAGAGTGCTGGTGGTTCTGAGGGCATAACATGGAGGGACGAGATGGGTCCCTGCGATTGGGGTGAGAACGTTGGTTTCTTGGTCTCTTTCCATCAGCGGTACTTGATGCTGAGATGGTTCGAAAGTAAGTTGAGAAGTACCCTGGATGGGGGGGGATGTTGACGGCTCTGGGAGGAGAGCTGGATTCACCCTCGGTGATCTTGTGTCACCCGAACCCTGCAGGAACCATCACGAACTGGCACGAGGCACCTTGGGGAGGCAGGCGCTGCCACCTGGTGCCTCCTGGGATAGACCATGGAAGCCAAATTGCATAATGGAAGCTCCGGAGAGGAGTGTGGATCCCCAGGAGAATCCCCAGACAGCAGGCTGAAGAAGGAAGTGGGGGGAGGCAGAGAGGAACGGCGAGGTTCCCCTTCAGTGCTTAAGAACTTGCAGATGGGCGGAGAGAGAGACAGACAGACAGAGACAGAGACAGAGGGACACCCAGCGCAGGAATTAAGGCTCTGCATGCTGCTGCAGACCCTGGTTGGGTCCCCAGAATGCCACATGGTGCCCTGAGCACCAAGCCAGGAGGAAGCCCTTAGCACTGCCAGGTGTGGCACGATCACGATCACAATCATCCTGTTGTTCGTCGATTGCCTTGAGCAGGCCCCTGTAACGTCTCCTTCGTCCTAGTCCTATGATTTTAAGAGGTGCCATGTTCAAGGCTCTTTCAGGGTTAGGAGAATGAGACCCATCATTGTTACTGGTATTTGGCATATTGGGTACACCACGGGGAGTTTGTCAGACTCTGCCGTGTAGGCAGGTTACATTCGGTAACCTGTCAGATTGTCCAAAGTAAAAATGAGATAATAAGATGTCGCGTGACCATGAATGCAGCCACGCACTTCCGGGAGCTGGGTTTTATAGTCTTTGGGTCTTGGCCATTGATGGGATTATACAGCACCGCAGGGTCAGATGTTGGGTGTGACTTCCTGCCTACTGGAAGATGGAGGATCTGGGTGGAGGATGCTCAGCCCCAATCCGAGCAGGCCTGGAGATCTCAGCCCCGGGACCTGCATGCCTTTGTTCCTCTGCCAGTACCTTCATGCATGTGGAGAGTGGTCTCAGCATGGTGGTGACTGGTTCTGGAGGTCTTCGGCTGCCGGAGCTCTGTTCGGGGCGGGGAGGGAAACTCAGGTGTGGCAAAAAAAAAAAAAGAATTTGCAGGTTGGGCTTGGGGATGGCTTAGAAGGCTGGAGCGTGCACATTTGCATGTCCAGCCCCAGGTTCCATCCCTGGCATCATGTGGTCCTACCCCTCTTTCCGCAAGCACCCT